TAATGTACAATAATTATGTAACAATTTTTAATATAATTATTATATAAAAATATATGACATAATTAAATTATTTATAGAAATTAGAACAACTACTAAAGTAAAATGGAGATTTTATTTTAAAAACTAACTTTTTTAAAAAAATTAGTAGATAATTATTTATTTTAATTTTTTATTGCAAATTTAATAAATAAGCAAAAAATAATATAATTCAATAATTAATATTTATAGTCACTGAAGTATCATTTATAATTATTCAAATTTATTTTTTTAAATAAAATTAGACATTAACTTATAAATAAAAATATTATATTTAAAAAAAAATACAAATCATTCAAAATTTTGAAAATTGACTAGATATTTTTAAAAATTATTCAAATATATATTAATTGAATATGATATATTAATTTTAACAATAAATTTACATATTAAAACAAATCAATAAAATCATACTTCATTCGTCATCCATATATGATTATTTTTCATTTTTTGTCTGTTTTACATAATATGATATTTTTTTATTTTCTAATAAATTTATCAATTTTACATTTAACAAATATAAATCAATTTGATTAAATTTTTAATATTTTACACGTATAACCCACTCAAAATCCTTTATTTATATCTGTCTCCCAAATTAACAAATATTTTATTTACCTTTAAAACTCTATATTTTTTACAAAACTAATATATAATAATGATAAATAAATAAATAATTTTTTTTAATTCGTATTAATAAATTTTTATTCTCTAAAAAAAATAGTATTCATATTGTATATATATTTTATTGAGATATATAATGTTTAAAATATTCAAACACATATTGTAAATTTTTTTTAAGCATTAAATAATAATACTCATTATTTAAATAACTAATTTGTACTCCCTCTGTCCCAAATACCCTGTGACATTTCCTTTTTGGTATGTCTTAAACACCCGCAATATTTCTAAAATAGGAAATAATTAATTATACTTAATCTCTACCCTACACTTTATCCCCTCACGTCATCCAAATAAAAAAATAAAATATATATTTCTTTCTCCATCACATCATCTAATTTCTAAATTATCCTACTTAATACTACCCACCTAAAAGTCCGTGTCAAAAGCAAATGTTGCACCTTGTTTGAGATGAAATGAGTATTACATAAATTCTCGTGCCCAAACAAAATGTTGCATTTTTGTTAGGAGGGAGGCAATATATTTTTAAAAGCGATAAAATAAAAAAAATTCATGAATAAAAAAACTAATATAAGAATAAAAAATGAGATTTAAATAATATAAAAATTATCAATTATAAATATTATTAAGTTTACGACAAAAAAAATAACTGTAAAATAAATAAAATCTTGCAAAATATAAATAAATATCATATTAAATTATTTATACACTATAAAAAAATATAAAAATAAATTCCGTGATTATACATCTTTCCAAAAATAGTAAGATAAAAAAAGGAAATATTTCATATAAAAATGATTAAAAAAAAATATGGAAAAAAAATTTATATAATAATGGATACAATATGATATTTTAATGTGGAATTGACATTAAAATCTATACATATCAAATGAAATAATTATAAAATATAATCTATCGAACTAATGATTTTTTTCTTTTTAATTTGAAAAAAAAAATCAAAAGTATAAACTTACACTCCTTCATCTTCATTTTGTCTTTTTTTTAAATCAAAATAAATATAAAAGTAAAATTTATTAAGAAATATGTAAAAGAAATGAGAATTTGAGTTTCAACAAAATAAATAAATAAATAAATTAGAAATAAACTTTATAAAATTTTTAAAGTGTATATATATTCACTAACACTGTAAAAGAAATTGTAAAAAGTATATAGATTAGAAATACCCACTATCATATAAAAATATGATAAAAAACTGTCAAATAAAAAAAAAATCAGAAAAATCTCAAAAATCTCGTAATGGAAAAATTATGGTCTGATCTCAAGTACATAATATAGATTATATGATATGATAAGTTTAAAAAAATTAAGAATGAGTATTTAATTATTTTTAGAATTGAATTTTAATAAAATATATACAATATGGATAATATTTTATATATAGAGAATAAAATTTTAAAAAATATAAATAAATAAAAATTATAAATATTTATTTATAATTAAAATAAATTAATTTTACACATAAATATGAAGTTTGTTTATTGAAGATTGAGATAGAAATAGAATTTATAAATAAATTTGGAGTAAGTCTATATGATATAATATTTTTTTAAAAAAAGTGACAATATAGCGCCAATTGACATCGAAACAACAACCAAACGCATTGGGCAAACATGCATCTAAAAAATTAAATAAATTACTTCTACATTTTGGGTGTGTTTGTTTTGGAGTTTGGATTTTGAATTGGGATTTGAATAATAAAAAGTTTGAATTTGAATAGTTGTATGATGTAATATAAACAGGTGTTGATGTGATATTTTGAACGTAAAATTGATTTTTAGTATAATATAAAAAATAAAAAATAAGTGCTTGATTTGATGTTTTGGAAAAAAAAAATGGAATGAATAGTAGAAATTAAATCCAATTCCCCAAACATACACACCCAATTTATTTATTTATTTATACCTCAATCTAAACATGTTTGAAATCATTACACACTTTTTTAAATTCTAACATTTAGAATTAAATTAATTGGTTGATTTGATATGAATATATAGAAATGTTATATTTTGAATATAAAATTAAATTTTTATGTAGTATAATAAGTTAAAAATATGTATGTTGGATTAAAAATTTATAAGTCAGATTAAGTTTATATTAAGTGATCTGTATAAATTTATGATAAAATTGTTTATAACTCTCTTGTAGTTTCAAAATTTAACTTATAATTTTTCATGTATTTTTAAAATTGCATGGCGCATCCTTATAATTTAAAAAACGTTGTATGAAACCCCACCGCCTTGAAACCTATAATGAGAAGATGATTTTTTATCAATATTTTTTTGCATAGGGGGTTCATGCAACGTTTTTAAAAGTACGAGAGAACGTCATGCAATTTTTAAAGTAAAATGGAGATGTATGCTGAGTTTTGAAACCACAAGGGAGTTTCATGCAACGTTTTTAAAAGTATAAGAAGGAGTCGTGCAATTTTTAAAGTAAATCGACGATTTATGCTGAATTTCGAAGCCACGAGGGAGTTATAGACAATTTTGCCTCAATTTATTGAGTTTAAATGTATTTAGTAAGTGCAGATATCCTTCTCCTATGTACAAAAACTTGATAACTTATTAATTCGGTGATGTGATAATTCATAATAATGGATAAAACAGATTTAGGCAACATTGATTACCTTTCAAATCTCATTATGAAAGTAACAACAAAAATCCTAGCGGATTTCTCAGCTGGGTTACGTCATAGGCTTGAAGAACACAAAATCATCGATCAATTTGTAGATTTGAATTCGATTGTGCTAATGGAATCAGGTTAGATAAAAGGTAACACTTAGGGTGTGTTTGGTACAGAGAATTTGCAGCAGACATGTTTGTTTGAGTCAGAGAAATGGAAGTTGAGAAATAAATCATTTCTATTTCTCTATTTTCATTTCTAAAAACAGAGAGAAATGATGTTCCAATATGTATATTTTTATTATTTTTTTTTGTAATATTTAATTTTTATAATTATTTATATTATATTATATTATTTCAGTTTTACAAAAATTATTTTTAATTTATCATTCAAATATTTAATTTTTTACAAAAATTTATACTGATCTTACAAAACTTCATATATAATTTATAATTTTTTGTTTTAGAAAAAGTCACCATAAATATTTTTTCATGATTCTCACTTGCTAAAACTCTCTTTTGTTAGATTAATCATTTATTCTTGTCCGATCCATTCATTTTTTTTTTATATTTCTCAACTGAATTCTCTATTGTACCTAACAAGATAATTAATTCTCATTCTCTCCTCAATTTTCTTTCTCTCTAATTTCATTCTCTACTCTCATTTCTCTTGCAATTCCATACCAAAACGCCCCTTAAGGATCTCTAATGTGGACACCAAAGAGAAGAATCGAAAGACAATGAAGGAGTAGTGTAGATGTCCAAATAAAAGCAAAAAGAAAACCCTACAAGAGATTTACATGGGCACAAGTCCACTAATCAATAATGGACCAATATTAACCTCAGCAGCCGGATCCTTAACGAGGCCCAAATCAAAACAGTTTAATCACAAATATCAATCGACATCTTCCATATAAAAACGATCATTTGATTAAATTGCAAAATTATATAAAAATACAAGGCCATTGAAGGAACTGGAGGGCCAAGGATTGTTGTGCTTAGCACCATACTTGGATGCTGCATAACAGGACAAGTACGTAATTGTTTTTTCACTGCTAACATAATCCAAGCTGAAATTTGAAATAATATTTGTATTGTAGTAATATTATATTTCACCACACGTAAACCAATGAAAGCATGAACGACACTTTTGGGAGTTTTCTTTTCTCATGCTGCCTAATTTCTAGGAGAACACTGTAAAGTTCCACATAGTTGACACAGTAAATGGGCATCTCAAACTTCAATGTGTTAGACAGCCTTGTTGAATTTAGAGTATTTAATCCCAACTTTGTTTGCAAAACATTTGCCGAATGTTCATTAAAAATATATATATATATATAATTATTACTTAAAAATAAATAAATAGAATATTATATATATAGTTAAAAATACAATAAGATATCATTTATACTCAAACAAGCTTTTTGAAGCTAAACAGAAATACGAGATTGAACAATAAAATTATTTCACAAACCAAACTCAACCACTATGAACGAACTCGAATGCTTAAAGAACCAATACAAGCCTTGTTTTTGCATGTTATCAAACAAACACAAATCCTTAAAATTATGTTGGATTCGACTCTAAATTGCTGATGATATATCTCAATTCAACTTTGTAAGCAAAGAAAAAAAATAAAAAAACATATAAGCATTCAACTTGAAATATGATGCATGAATGTTTTGAGAATCAAATCTGAAAATGCCATATCAGATCTCACTGATTATTTTAAATAATATTCAATTCATCCAAAATACTCCATAACATCAAACACCAGTGTTTGCATAGAATAAATCATAGGACGAGCAGACAGCCGAAAAGACATCGCCATGAATGATAGGCAAAAAACACCATGTCATGTTTAACGGTATGAATCCGGGCGCTTGGGTTTGCTTTGAACTGCAGCCTCGATCTTCTCCATCACTGCAGGTGTAAGCAGAGGAATAACATTGATGGCCTTCATGTTCTCCTGAATCTGCATTTAAGTGTGTAATCCAACACCAACTGTTATTATACAGACCACAAGGCAACAAAAATGGATGATAAGTATGTATAATCCACCTCAACAATCATTTGTCGAATAAGAAGCATAATGTTCTGATCAAAATCAAACTAATGCTCAATAAAAGAATCTTCGGAAGATAGGCAGGCTACCAATAATTTTTAATCTGGTATACGGAGTATAAAAACAAAGCTAACAACAGGCGGAATAAAGATGGGAAAACAATATGGCATAACACAGACCTGCCACTCCTTTGTTGGTAATTCTTACTTGGCTACATTATGGGGTCGAGAATCAGGAAATCGATGACAGGAAAATGTCTTCGCGGAGAACGGAGTGCCAATGTGACGGAAGTAGAATGCGATGATGGTGTGATTCTTTCAACCAGTTACGCAGCACTGATCCAGATATCGAGGCGAAATACACGAGAATGAGCATGTTACCGATGCTAACCGGACGCACAATCGATGCTCAGGCCGTTGAAACTATGGGTGGGGAAATGGAGATGGAGAGACTGCTTTCGTGTGGGGCGTGGAGGAGGTTGTTTGAGATCAACGAGCCCGCGTACAAAGAATTGACGTTAGAGTTTCTCTGCACACTAAAGCATGACAGGCCGAACTTGTATCTTTACGAAAAACTCAATGCGCTGCAGTTTCGACTGGGAGGCCGTAGCTACTCACTATCCGTCACGGACTTCTCCCTTGCACTGGGACTATACGACCGTGAATTCAGGGAGACACGCGAGTACAAGAACATGGCCTATACGATGCCTCTGTCTTGGTCAGTATACTGGCCTACGATAAGCAGCAGTCGGAACTTCAATTCAGGAGCATCTAAGACATCGACACTGAACTCGCCTATTTTAAGGTACGTCCACAACATACTTGCTCATACACTCTCAGGCCGGAAAGACGCAACTGCGGCAGTAAGCAAGGTTGATTTGGAGTTCCTATGGAGCATCAACGAAGGCGTTCCACTCCATCTGGGCTATTGGGTAGTCAGACTTTGTATAACTGCTGCCGCCGACACAAGGGTACGCAGCATTCCGGTTGGCCTGTACGTGACAAGACTGGCGAAGGGGCTCGGGGTGGCGGAACTTGCGGATGGAGTTCCAGATGCTCAAATGGTTCCATGTGGAATGGAGACTATTTTCAGCATGGGAATTTTGCAATGCCACCGCCGGGGCGATCCTCCATCCCACACTGAACATGGGCCGCCGGAGCCAGCCTCGAGCCACTCCGATCTGCATACCTTGTGTAACGAACGCTTCGACATAATAGGGAGGAAGGTCGATGGAATGTGGACGGAGCTGCGATCATTCATGCCAGATATGCGACTTCACCGTACTTCACCATCGGAGTAAGGATGATGTCGTAATGCACTTACGTTTCAGGTATTCCTAGTAATTTATGCGTAGTACTGAACACCGGTCATAACGCATTGGTGCTAATGGTCGGCAATGTCCGGAACCAACTATTATATATTTAGGTACAATTTGTACGACGCTTAGAACAGTATTATGCGTACACTAACACTTTAATATGTTTTCTTGATCCGTAGACGTTGCATCCTACATCGGCGTACATGTTTAATCTCGACTCCGCTAGTAATTGGTTGTTGACATATAGTGAGGAATGAAGAACATAAACATAAAAACAATGGCCGATGTTTGCGTTACGTGTGTTAAGCAAATATTATGTTGTTCTTGCTGAAACGTGATAATCGCATCGTATCTCGTTGTTGAGGTTCAATCATTTGTAGTTGGTAAATCATTTGCTAGCAAAATATCCCCACATTCCCAAACCATAGCAAAGTGCACTGTTTATCAAAATTTTTCCGTACAAAAGTACTAAAACAAACACGTACTTTCTATTTTTGATGTTACATTCAAAAAAAAAAAATTACGTTCAAAATATCACATAAATCATTTTTTATATCATATCACACAACAACTATTAAAATTATAAATCCGTCGTCGTTCAAATATCAAGTCAATATCAAAACCTTCAAACAAACAAACCCTCAAAATAAAAATAAAAATAATAATAAAATATCTCCAAAAAAAAATTTAACAAAAACTTATTTTTAAAATATCAATTCCAACATCACTTCATTTTTTCACTTTATTTTTTTATTTTAACAATATTTAAATATCATTCATTTCAAACTATTACATTAATACATCACTTTTTTTAATATAATAATAATTTCTTCCAACATAATCATTACAAAATTCAAACATTCAAACAAACACAACTTAAAAATCCATACTTACTGTAGACACTAAAAATATATGTCTAAAATCAATTAAATATCATGTATTTTGGAAGAAAATAAAATTCCAATAAAATAAATATATGGTATTTAATTATGCACACATGTTAATTTTTGTACAATAAATATCAACCATTAATGCAAAAATCTGCTTAAAATGGAAGATATCGTACAAATATTACGTGCATAAATAGAGCCATAATAAATTTGGCAGCAAAATAAATTAATATTGTCAATAAAGGAAGTATATAAATTAATATCTTCCAAACAAGGCAATGATATAAAGATCTTGTCAATAAAGGAAGTATATAAATTAATATCTTCCAAAAAGGGCAATAATATAAAGATTTTGGCGAGAAAGGAAGGTGCACTATCAAATCCGTCAAAAATGGAAAACGGCATCCGAGGAAAGATTATAAAATTTTTCCATCCACGTAGCACCATCCGAAAAGGAAGCCAAGGCCGCCCTCCCCTATAAATAGGAGTCATGGCCAATTCATTTGACACACCGAAGTTGCATCGAGGATTCAAGCAAATGGGTAAGTCTCTAGACTCTCTCTGTATTGTTCTTCATGTTCTTCGTGTCCTTCGAAGCGTTCTTCGTCGAAAGTCACTAATTTGGACAAATGATCCAATATTGGCTGACGAATCGATGAAGTTAACGTTATTCGTCGTATGTCCAAGCCGGAGGAAGGATCAAAGCTCTCAAAGCCGTCAAGGAATTCGTCAAAGCCAAGGGAAGGTCTTCAAAGTTTCTCTCAAAGCTTCGAGGTGTTCATCGCGTTCTTCATAAAAGGCGCAAACTCGGCCCTCTTCGATCCAAAAGTCAAAGGGACATGCCGCCAAAAGCGTTACGGAGCACCAAATCTACCTCCTCAAAGATCAAAGTCCGGATCGTCGAAAGAAGACAACAAATCCAAAGACGATGATCAAATCGCCAACGCGGAGACCAAAGTCCTCCAAAAGCGGCAAAGCCAAAGCACAGGTCAAAGTCGCGGATCGTCTAAAAAAGACAACAAATCCAAAGACGATGATCAAATCGCCAATGCGGAGAACAAAGTCCTCCAAAAGCGGCAAAGCCAAAACAAAGGTCAAAGTCGCGGATCGTCTAAAGAAGACAACAAATCCAAAGACGATGATCAAATCGCTTATGCGGAGACCAAAGTCCTCCAGAAGCGACAAAGCCAAAACAAATGTCAAAGTCGCGGATCGTCCAAAGAAGACAACAAATCCAAAGACGATGATCAAATCGCCAACACGGAGACCAAAGTCCTCCAAAAGCAGCAAAGCCAAATCAAAGATCAAAGCCTCGGATCGTCTAAAAAAAAAAACATCAAATCCAAAGCTGACGATCAAATCGCTCGTACGGAGACCAAAACCCTCCAAAAGCCGGCAAAGTCAAACTGAAGACCAAACCTCTTCGGATCAAAGAAGCCATCGAAAACCAAGTTGGAAAATAAATCGACCCGGAAGGAGAATCAAAGGACCCATTTATAGAATAGGACCCGCTTTAAATTCAAATCAAATATAATTTGTACAAAATTTGTGTTTATTAAAAATAAAACAATGTTTTGTCCACAGATTTTTGGCACGCCCAGTGGAACCTCTCTACCTTTCATCTCTCTTTCCGACGAACTCTCAACAACCAATGGTTTCCTACAAGATCAAGACTTCCAACGTTACGTCAAAAGTTGCTGGTCAAGCCGCCGTCGCCGCCAAAGAAGTTGGCGCATCCATCGCGTCCAAAACCTCAAGCGCTTCGACAAATACTGGAATGACAACACAAAGCGTGACCAAAAGAGCATTGTCGTTATCTGAAGACACTTCTCCAAAAATCACAGAGCAAAGTCCACTCTATGAAGAAGACGACAACTTTAAGAGTACTACCGCACTGTTCACCCCTCAACAAACTGCAAGTCATTCAACCGCATCAAGCTCTGCTCCGGTGATGACTACCAACGCTTCAAATATTGAGGACCCAAAGCTTGTGGATCAAAGTCTGCTTTGCCAGGAAGATCAAAGCTTCAAAGGTACTCTCATGCCACCTACTCATCGGCCAAGTTCAAGTCATTCGACTACATTAGCTTTCGCTCCGGTGATGACTATCAACGCTTCAAGTGTAGAAGAACAACTTGCAGCATTGGCTAAAATCATTGAAGGGATGTCTCAACACATGCAACAACAAGACGCCCTCATCGAAAAACTTATCACAAAACTGGACAAGCCTGAAGAAGCTGGCCATGCAACCGAAAAGCAATCATCTTCCCCAACGGTCCAAAATAAAGCGGCAACATTTGTGGAGCAACATCATGGAAAAGAAAAGGTGGCGGAATCAAATCTATTTCAAGGATCATCCAACTCTTTCATCCATATATCCCAACTTGACAAATACATCAAGGGGGCAATCAAAAGAGAATTCGAAGGGAGTTCAAGGCCGACGCACACTTACGCCAAGCCTTAGACTGCAAGGATTGACGCCCTCAAAATGCCAACGGGCTATCAACCACCAAAGTTTCAACAATTTGACGGCAAAGGCAACCCAAAGCAACATATAACGCACTTTGTCGAGACATGCAACGATGCTGGAACATATGGAGACCTCATAGTCAAACAATTTGTGCGGTCACTAAACGGCAACGCCTTCGACTGGTACATCGACTTAGAGGCTGGTTTCATCGACAATTGGGAACAACTAAAGTACGAGTTTTTGAATAGGTTCTACAGCACAAAGAGAACCGTCAGCATGACCGAACTCACCAACAGTCGCCAATGGAAAGATGAACCAGTAATTGACTACATCAACCGCTGGAGAAGTCTAAGCCTCAACTGCAAAGACCTTCTGTCCGAGGCTTCCGGCATAGAAATGTGCATTCAAGGGATGTAATGGGGCTTGAAATACATCCTATAAGGGATCCGACCCCATACTTTTGAAGAAATCGCCACTCGTGCTCATGATATGGAATTGAGCATGATGTCTAGTGGAATGTATGGACCGCCTACTGAAGATTTCTCAAATGACGAGAAATACAACACTTCAAATAGTGGGGGCAATCATACCTACAACACTCCTGGAAACGAGGATAAACTTTCTACAATCTCCTAGAAACGAGGATAAACTTTCTACAATCCCCTAGAAACGAGGATAAACTTTCTTCAATCTCCTGGGAATGAGGATAAACTTTATAGCAAGTCTCCTTAACACGAGAATAAACTGTTTAACAAAAACAAACAAATTCAATTTGTTTTGAACTACGTTATGACTTGATTCCTTAACCGGATACGTAGGCAACTTGGAATATAACTTCAAGTTCAGTCAATTATGCCAAAAAAAAGAAAGAAAAGAAAAGCCCTAAAAAATAAATTGGGCAAAAAAAAAGAAAAGAAAAGAAAAGAAAAGAAAAGCCCTTATAAATAAATTAGGCAAAAAAAAAAAGTCCAAAAAGTTGAGCTTAAAAAAAAAAACCAATTGGAAAAAAAATCTCGTCCAAAAAAAAAAAGGAAAAAAGAAAAAACCCTTTGAAAAAAAAATATTGGCTAAAAAAAAAATCAAAAAATGATATCCATAAAAAAAAATCAGTCAAAAAATAAATTGACTTATGTTTCGAAACTCGTTCACGCCATAAACGCTTTGCGTCGGCTTAAACAAGTTTCGAGGGGGCATTTTGTAGACACTAAAAATATATATCTAAAATCAATTAAATATCATGTATTTTGGAAGAAAATAAAATTCCAATAAAATAAATATATGGTATTTAATTATGCACACATGTTAATTTTTGTACAATAAATATCAACCATTAATGCAAAAATCTGCTTAAAATGGAAGATATCGTACAAATATTACTTGCATAAATAGAGCCATAATAAATTTGGCAGCAAAATAAATTAATCTTGTCAATAAAGGAAGTATATAAATTAATATCTTCCAAACAAGACAATGATATAAAGATCTTGTCAATAAAGGAAGTATATAAATTAATATCTTCCAAAAAGGGCAATAATACAAAGATTTTGGCGAGAAAGGAAGGTGCACAATCAAATCCGTCAATAATGGAAAACGGCATCCGATGGAAAAGGAAAGATTATAAAATCTTTCCATCCACGTAGCACCATCCGAAAAGGAAGCCAAGGCCGCCCTCCCCTATAAATAGGAGTCATGGCCAGTTCATTTGACACACCGAAGTTGCATCGAGGATTCAAGCAAAGGGGTAAGTCTCTAGACTCTCTCTGTATTGTTCTTCACGTTCTTCGTTGAAAGTCACGAAATTGGATAAATGATCCAATATTGGCTGACGAATCGATGAAGTTAACGTTATTTGTCGTATGTCCAAGACGGAGGAAGGATCAAAGCTCTCAAAGCCTTCGAGGAATTCATCAAAGCCAAGGGAAGGTCTTCAAAGTTTCTCTCAAAGCTTCGAGGTGTTCATTGCGTTCTTCATAAAAGGCGCAAACTCGGCCCTCTTCGATCCAAAAGTCAAAGGGACACGCTGCCAAAAGCGTTACGGAGCACCAAATCTACATCCTCAAATATCAAAGTCCGGATCGTCGAAAGAAGACAACAAATCCAAAGACGATGATCAAATCGCCAACGCGGAGACCAAAGTCCTCCAAAAGCAGCAAAGCCAAAGCACAGGTCAAAGTCGCGGAGATCGTCTAAAGAAGACAACAAATCCAAAGACGATGATCAAATCGCCAACGCGGAGACCAAAGTCCTCCAAAAGCGGCAAAGCTAAAGCAAAGGTCAAAGTCGCGGATCGTCTAAAGAAGACAACAAATCTAAAGACGATGATCAAATCGCTAATGCGGAGACCAAAGTCCTCCAAAAGCGACAAAGCCAAAACAAATGTCAAAGTCGCGGATCGTCCAAAGAAGACAACAAATCCAAAGACGATGATCAAATCGCCAACACAGAGACCAAAGTCCTCCAAAAGCGGCAAAGCCAAATCAAAGATCAAAGCCTCGGATCGTCTAAAAAAAAGACATCAAATCCAAAGCTGACGATCAAATCACCCGCACGGAGACCAAAACCCTCCAAAAGTCGGTAAAGTCAAATTGAAGACCAAACCTCTTCGGATCAAAGAAGCCATCGAAAACCAAGTTGAAAAATAAATAGACCCGGAAGGAGAATCAAAGGATCCATTTAGAGAATAGGACCAACTTTAAATTCAAATAAAATATAATTTGTACAAATTTTGTATTTATTAAAAATAACACAATATTTTGTCCACGCTTACAAATCTTCAAAACTCCAAATTCAAAATCCAAAACCCCAAATAAACACACCCTAAATGGACGTCTCAAACTTCAATGTGTTGGACAACCTTATTGAATTTAAGGTACATAAACAAATCAGTCCAACAATATGCTTATTTTGTTAGAAAACGAAATAAGTTTAAAAAATGAATCCGAACTTTGTTTGTAAACATTTGACAAAACGTTCACTAAAAATATATATATAATTATTACTTAAAAATAAATAAATAAAATATTATATATAGTTAAAAATAAAATAAGATATCATTTATACTCAACGAGCTCAAACAAACTTTTTCAAGCTAAACAGAAATACAAGCTTGAACAATAAAATTATTTAACAAATCAAACTCAAATACTATGAACAAACTCGAATGCTTAAAAAAATCATTACAAGTCTTATTTGTGAATGTTAACGAACAAACACAAATCCTTAAAATTATGTTGGAGTCGACTCGTTAACAGCTAAATTGCTGATGATATATCTCAATTCAACTTTGTAAGCAAAGAAAAAAAATAAAAAAACATATAAGCATTCAACTTGAAATTTGATGCATGAATGTTTTGAGAATCAAATCTGAAAATGCCATATCAGATCTCACTGATTATTTTAAATAATATTCAATTCATCCAAAATACTCCATAACATCAAACACCAGTGTTTGCATAGAATAAATCATAGGACGAGCAGACAGCCGAAAAGACATCGCCATGAATGATAGGCAAAAAACACCATGTCATGTTTAACGGTATGAATCCGGGCGCTTGGGTTTGCTTTGAACTGCAGCCTCGATCTTCTCCATCACTGCAGGTGTAAGCAGAGGAATAACATTGATGGCCTTCATGTTCTCCTGAATCTGCATTTAAGTGTGTAATCCAACACCAACTGTTATTATACAGACCACAAGGCAACAAAAATGGATGATAAGTATGTATAATCCACCTCAACAATCATTTGTCGAATAAGAAGCATAATGTTCTGATCAAAATCAAACTAATGCTCAATAAAAGAATCTTCGGAAGATAGGCAGGCTACCAATAATTTTTAATCTGGTATATGGAGTATAAAAACAAAGCTAACAACAGGCAGAATAAAGATGTGAAAACAATATGGCATAACACAGACCTGCGACTCCTTTGTGGCACCTGTGATGACAGATGAGACATTAGGATTCGAAGCGCACCAAGCAATTGCAAGCTGAGATAAAGGCACTCCAAGTTCTTCTGCAATTGGTTTTAATCCATTCACTTTCTTCAGCACATCATCCACCAAGGATCGGCTCGCAAGATTCTGCATTTCAGCCTCTCACAAATAAGAGTACTTCACTATAATTTAGTATACAATATAGATCCAGCACTTTAGTTTTTCCTTAAATGTGAAACTGATCGACGCCCAGCTCAGCACAACCAGAGCAACTCCTCAAAGTGTTCTACAATCTAGCTTAAGCTTATACGAGCACACTTATGCAAGCGGAAATTATCTAAAAACGATTATTTCATTTCAAAAAACACAACAAAGCTTCTGTGAAGGCAACTTTCCTCTTCAAGCTTAAAAATTGTTTGCTCTTTTGTAATTAGAATCTGAACACCCTTCCACAGAAACACAAAAAATGTGTTCTTTTAACTATTTCTACACTTCCTCTCACATTTTTGTTCGAAAATTGGGTATAGATATGAGAAAAGTCATCTATATTGAATTCCCACCTGAAAAATATCACAAGCCAAGCATATACACCTAATAATCTATTTTCCAAGATGAAAATTAAGCAAACCCAAGAATAACAACAGCACAAGAAACAACAGAGTCACACACCTAGACAATCAAACAAAGGGTAACAAGAACATAAATTTTGAAAAGCTCCAAGGCCAATTTGCCCTTTACCTTATAATTTTCCAATGCAAACCTACTGTCAGTTGGAATGTTTCCAGAGTTATACTTCCCAGTCAAAACTCCAGAGGCAAGGGGACTCCAGGTAGTGAGGCCGATGCCGTAGTTAGTATACAGAGGAAGATACTCAGACTCAACCTACAGCAATTCGGAGAAAATTGAGACAACAATAGTGTTTGATAAGTCAAGAAAAAAGTATATAAATGACTATGTTTCCATAATTCCAAATCTGTAACACATCGGAGGAAAAAAAATGAGAAAATATTCAGAATGAGTAAATCCGGACAGCAATCCTAGACTAGACAAATGAAGTATTCGATGAGAAGCCACAGCAGCAATTGAAGAACAATATCAGAAAATGACTATCCCAAAACATTGAACTCGCAACAATTCCACGGAGCATAAGAGAAATCTGCATCACAAATCTTCCGAAAATGATGAATGCAGACCAGAAGAATAACACTAAAGACTTTAGATTCAATTCACAAATAAACATCAGTGTATCAAAAATCACAAACAGATTAAACAGAATAAAACAAACAAAGGTTATGTGTCCTATCTATGGAGTGAACAATTGAGGCGATCCATAGATAGAGATATATACGTAGATAAATAAATACCTTGTGCCTGGAGAAGAGATTGTATTCAGGCTGCTCGACGATGGGGCCAACGAGATCCAGTCTCTGAGCGACACTCCAGGCCTCCGTAATCTGCTGAGCAGACCACTCGCTAGTTCCCCAGTAATAAGCCCACCCGTTGTCGATGACATAGTTCATTGCCCTAACCGTCTCCTCGATGGGCGTGCCGGTGTCGGGGCGATGGCAATAGATCACATCGACATAGGGCATATCGAGCCTCTTCAAGGAGCTCTTGGTCCCTTCGATGATATGCTTCCGCGATAAGCCCTTGTCGTTAGGGCCGGGGCCTCCCCAGAAGATCTTGGTGGAGACGACGATGTCGGATCGCTTCCAGCCGAGTTCCTTGATGGCCTGGCCCATGATCTCCTCGGCGCGGCCATTGGCATAGACTTCGGCATTATCGAAGAAATTGACGCCGTGGTCGCGGCAGCACTGGAGGAGGGATTTGGCCTCCTTGACGTCGAGCTGGTTGCCGAAGGTGACCCAGGCGCCGAAGGAGAGCTGGGAAACTTTGAGGCCGGATCTGCCCAGGTTCCTGTACTGCATCGTCTGCTCGGGGACTTTCATCACTTTCACCCTGCTGTTGGGATTGGGATTGGAGATTCGGAGTGTAATTTACTCACTCTGATTTGGAAATGAAATGAAAGGGTTCGTATCAGTTATCAACTCGATTCGATTCGTAGCCCAAATATCAAGACACACCAACCGGACAATAAGACAAAAGAAGCTCTAGAGCCTCCCTCAATCAACTACCTTGCTTGAATATCGATTTTTTATTTTTTTAAATTAAAATGTTTATGAATAATGTGAAATAAGAAATAAACTTTAACACTGTTTATGACTATGCGAGTAATGGGTTCGTGACTGTGTGTTTTTGGATAAAGATAATTTTTTTATGGTAAGTATGAGAAATTATGTTACCAATTATAAAATATAAAATTTTATATTAAATTGTTTTTTTAAGTAAATAAAATATATATATATTATAAATATTGTATTAATATATATTTATATTGTAATTTTTGTAATAATATTTATTAAAAATCTTTTCATTTAAATATACAAAGTGAACAAACTTATTTGTATTTTTAACAAAGAGGTTATGTGGCGTGTTTCTCAGGTTCATTAAAATTCCGTATATATATATATCATATTCATTGCGCGAATTTGTACATGAAAATATTATAGATAGCGCATGAAAATTTTGTAGCGAAATCTGAAATACGATGAAATCTGGAATCACAAATTTGATAACACCGAGATCGAGTTTCAGAACAAAAATCGAATTCGAACCTCACGTAAAAACGATTTCCTTGAAGCATATTCAGTCCGCCACCGATCATCTCTCATGATAAAACGAATTAAATGGAACAACAAATTTCGCGGACCGAAAATTAAAATAATAGGGATATTTTGAAAAGTTTTTTAAAGAAAAGTTTGCAAAGAGGTTTCCAGATGAAGGTTTTGGAACTGTTGAGCACAAACATAAGATTAGGGTTCGAGCCTAAGAATGACGAATGGATGGGCCCAGTTGTGGTCCAATGGTGAGCCAGATTCATTTGGTTAGAATGGTTGTTGGGGCCCAACCGACCGGATGGATGGCTCTGCAGATAATATATTCGTTTGAGTGAGGGCCTTGGGACGGTTGGTTACAAAGGCAACTAATGAGGAAGCGATTTCGGACGATTCAGATCGGTAACCGACGAGGAAGTAGTTTTGGATGGTTCAGATCGGTAACCGACGAGGAAGCGGTTTCGGACAGTTCAAATCAGTAACCGACGAGAAAGCAGTTTCAGACGGCTCGGATAGGTAACCGACGCGGAAGTGGTTCTTGGACGGTTCAGATTGGTAACTGACGTGGAAGCAGTTTTTTGGACAGTTCAAAGGTGACCGACGTGGAAGCAGTTTTTTTACGGTTCAAAGGTAACCGACGTGGAAGCAGTTTTGACAGTTACCAACGTGGAAGCAATTTTTTTACGGTTACCGACATTGAAACAGTTTTTTGGACGGTTCAAGGGTAACTGACATGAAAGTGGTTCTGGACAGTTTGGTTTGATACGTATATAAAAAACCTTAGTGATAGATAGCCAACATCCTCAATTAGACAAAAATTTCAAAGAAATTCACATTGTGGTTCATCATTTTAGCTTTCCAGTTATCATTTTCAACTTTTCTTTTTTCTTTTCTTTAACAATATTATGTATAGCTTGTATTGGGATCCGTGATCTTAGACACTCTTCACTCAAGTTTGAAATATATTTTTGAAATTTACTTTTTATTGTTGAACTTTTATCATCAACAAGAACATAACAGATTTTTTCCGTGAGAGAGATTAAAATTAATTTTTGATACGTTATTTTTTTTTAAAAAAAAGTTAAAGAACTGAGGAAATTTTAGGTATAGTCATTGAACATGAGAAAACTGATCCCAAAAAATCCGATCTCATTGCAACACGTTTTAACAACATATAATTTTATTTGATAAGTTTAAATTTGTTTTGAATCAGTCAAAACAACCATAAGATAAAATACAAAAATAAATGAATTGAATTTACTGTGATTGGGCCCGGCCCACGAACCCCATGGCCCCAACGTCCAAGGTTCAATCTTGTCTATGTATATATATAGGGAAAAAAAATATTTTTTGTCTCAATATAATCAAAATTCATCAATTTTGGTTCAAATATAAAAATCTTATCAATTTTGGTCCCTCTATAACCAAAACTCATCATTTTTTGTCCCAATAATTTTATTTTATTTTATTTTTATCAATTTTAGTCCCAATATAACCAAAACTCATCAGTTTTGGTCCCAATATAATAAAACCTTATCTTTTTTGGTCCCACCGTAAAAAACCGACGGAAAATGCTGACGTGGACTTAACGGAGTCGAGCTGGCAGGTGACCTGGAATGAACACGGCCGTGTACCATAAAACACGCCCGTGAACATACAAGTTAGTATCCGCCAGTCACCATACACGGCCGTGTGACATTGAACACGGCCGTGTAAATTGATTACGGCCATGGTACCTGGCAGTGTCAACACACGGCCGTGTGAATAAAACGAACACGGTTGTGTTCATCTGAACGGGCAATTCCCGCGATGAAACACGGCCATGTTAACGTTTCACACGACCGTGTTAGAGTTCACGGCCATGGACTCAGGCTGTGTTTCTGCCACGGTCGTGTGTTGTTGTGACACGGCCGTGTTGGCATCGTCTTTCTGTAACGTTTATTCTTCCCAGCCATGTTTTCCATTTACATTTTATTTCTCATGGCGAAAAAGATGACGAAAAAGATTTCTACTCATCTGGTAAGTAAAGTATACAATATATTTTATCTTCTATCGATTATATGTTGATATAATTTATAGTTTTAGTGTATTTTTAGGGTTTTTTAAATTGTGTATTTAGTGATATATGATGTATATGTTTTAAGTTGATTATATATATATATTTGCATATTTTGTTTGAATCTTATATTTATAATTTTTAAATATTGTATTGTTATTGTTTTCTTAGTTATATCTTTTTTTTTTAGTATTCTTGTAGGTGAAGAAAATATTTATCGAAAATGACCGATGAAAACAATAGAATGATTGAGAAGGGAAAAAATATACAGTTAGATCATGAAGATATGAGAGAAGAAGAATCGGAGTTTGAGGATCCCGATTATTTGATGGAAGAGGAGGATATGAAAGCTAATTTAATAGATCAATTGTTATACAAAGATATGGTAGATTATTCGTACGTCAAAATTTTGACGATGAGATGTCTTTGGAAGATTCACACGAAAATGAACTCACAAGTATTGCCGGGTCCGGTACAGAACTCAACAATTCTCAAACGGTGTACGATCCATCTACCAAGTACAATCCATCGTTTGTACTCGGAATGATTTTTAGTTCAAAAAAAGAGTTTAAAGAGGCCATCCAAAATCATGCTATCTTGACGATGAGGACTCTATATTTTGTCAAAAATGACAAAAGAAGAATGTATGTTCAATGCTCAGTTCAAAGTTGTAATTGGAGAATAAATGCTTTGAAAGTGAGCGATCAATCGACATATCAAATCAGAACCTATCAATCAAAGCATGATTGTATGTGTGATTTAAATGTCAAGAATGTAAAGTCTTTCTGGCTTGCGAAAAATACGAACCGTTGTTTCGATCGGACCCTTCAAGACGTGTGAAAGGATTTAGAGTTGATGTTTCCGAAGATATTAGATGTAATGTATCCTATCAACAAGCATATAGGGCGAAGAAGAGAGCACTCAAAGCAATTGATGGTGATGCAGAGGAGCAATATGGAAAGTTGTGGGATTATGCTAAAGCACTGCGGCAATCGAATCCGGGATCACGCGTCTCGATGGAGTTGGAAGGGGAGTTTATAAATGGACGACGACGATTTAGCAAATATTATATATATTTCAAATCGCTCGTTCTTGGATTTCAATCCGGTTGTCGACCTGTGATTGGGGTCAATGGATGTCATTTAAAGGGTCCGTGTCAAGGTATCTTGTTAACTGCGATTGCAATTGATCATAATAACGAATTATTTCCTTTGGCATACGCTGTTGTTGGGAGTGAGACACGTGAGCCATGGGAATAGTTTTTCATACTGCTGAAAGATGATCTAGATATAGAACGTGATGAGTCGTGTACATTCATATCAGACAAACAAAAAGGACTTGTTCCTACTATGGAAAAGATTTTTCCCGGATCAGAAAAAAGAGTTTGTGTACGACATCTTTACGGTAATATGAAAAGTGTTGGATTCAAGGGGCTTGCATATAAACGACTTATTTGGATAGCAACAGATGCAACCACGGTTCCCGAGTTCGAGGATGCTATGAAGGAGATCAAAGAGTTAGATGAAAGATGTGTAGATTGGTTAGCCGACAAGCCAATGGTCGAGTTCACATTTTGCGACATTTTCGAATTGTGATATGATTTTGAACAACTTATGTTAATCTTTCAATAGTATTATATTGGATGCAAGAGATATGCCAATTTTGCCTATGTTGGAATGGATTAGGAGATATCTGTTGTCACGGCTTGCAAAACAAAGAGAAATGGCACTTCGAAAATGGGAGAATATGCAGTTTTGCCCCAAAATAGTGAAGATCATGGAAAAAAACATTCGAGAAGCTTCATCATGTGTTCCAGTTAGGGCCGATGATTGGACCTACGAGGTGGGTTGTTCTGATTGCAGCAGGTTTGTAGTAGATATTTTGAAGAAGTCGTGCGGGTGTAGAAAATGGGATTTATGTGGGATTCCTTGTCGTCATGGAATGAGTGCCATCTGCGGTCAACAGCTAGATCTAGCGGACTTTGTTGATGAAGTATATAGTGTTGAGAACTTCAAAAAGGTTTATTCATATTCTATTGGCCCCATGAATGGAGCACAACTGTGGCCAAAAACTGGTTTGCCTCCACAATTTTCACCTATTGTAAAACGCTCTGTTGGCCGGCCTAAAACAACAAGAAGGCGTGATCCTGATGAGATTATGGAGAAGGGATACACAAGGAGACAAAAAGGAGATACCAATAGTTTGCCAAAACAAAAAAGACGAGTAACTTGTAAGTTTTGTGGTCTTATTGGTCACACACTTAGGGGTTGTCAACAGAGAAAACTCAGTTGTATGAATCAAATTCCACTGCAAGAATTACGCAAGCTACTGAAGGATTATTATCTCAAACAAGTG